CCCCCGCCCCCCGCCCGCGCCCTTGCTCTTTGCCAAATACGAACAGTTTATTATGTATATAATACACAAGATATAACTAAATTATCACTTATAATTATTTGTTAATTTCACACAAAATATATCAGGGAATTAACTTCTGCTTAACCAGACAGAGTTCGAGAATACAACTTGTACGCTATGGACAACTTGATAGTAGTTTTCGTGCGAGTCTGTCAGTGGTGGATGTGTGCGTGCGTGCGTGTGCGGCCGGCGCGTGCCCGCGTCGTGAGCGGCACGCGCGCGGTCGGGTCTTCGTCCGTCGTTGCCGTCGCGCCGGCGCCTTCGCCTTCGTCTTCGGGTGGCAGAGAAAAGCTGCTGCTGCCGCTGCCTGGACGGGCGGTGGTGGGTCGGCCGGGCCCCGGGCGGCCCACGCCACCGCCTCCGCCTCCGCGGCCTCTCGCTGCCGCCGCCGCCCACGGCCCGCGGCCGAGAGAGCGCCTCAGTGCGAACCCAGACCCATCTAGTGTCGAGCGGAGCAACTACGAGCGTCCGGCGCAACGTGTCTCGACGGTAGGGCAGAGAGAGAAAAACAGTTCGACACTCCGAAAAGATTTTCCTAAGCAAAAAAGCAACCAGTCTAAGAGAATTATTAAATGTATTCTTGCACATTTCTAAAAATCAATTTAAAAAAAAAGCGCTCAGCAATTTTATGCTTTGCCGTATTTCATGTTTTTCGTCGTTTTGTGCTGGATATTTTACTATTAAATCATACCCTATTTGCTGTATTGTACATTTTACATGTGTTAGAAAGGTTGAGTGACTGCAGAAGGCAATAAACTATATGTCACGGAGAGTATAATGTCTGAAGGACGCTGGTTTTCCGTTCTCGTGTGTCGATAAGTCGAAATTCCCAGCGGAGTGGCGCGTCGGCCGCGGCGAGAGGTGAACCACGGCTCCCTAGGGAGCTGCGCCACCCCCCGCCGCGGCCCACGCCGCCCCTTCGCTGCGCTTTGACCGGAATCTCATGCCCACACTCACATGCGCACGTTGTAGCGGTGCGTGTGTCTTTGCCACGAAACGATATCAATCACCACTCTGGCATTTTTCATAATGAACCTCCCCCCGCCCTTTTTTGTTTTGTGTTTACACATTGAAGGAATGTGTCCGTCTTCTCGAAGGTTTTAATTCGAGCGGAGGTGACGCGGAGCCGACGCGGGTATGCGGCGCGTGTATTTATTTTGCCGCCGGCGATTTCGGGGCCCCTGCGTCCATGGCCCCCCGACTTCCCCGGCGGCTGTCTGTCGCGCCCGCCGCGCCGCCCCCGCGTCGCCGCGGACGTCGCGGGCAGCAGCGTCCGGCCCCTCAGTGCATTGCTCCGTACGCCTTCCGCCGTCTGTCTTGTCTGTCTGTCCGTCGGCTGCGCGCCGACCCCGCCTGGCCCCGGCTCGTCTTCGTCGCAGACGCCAGCCCGCCTCCCCGCCACCGACCCAGAGCTATCGAGTACCCCGCTCTCCAGGCCAGTCGATTCGATTCGACCGGTCGCGCAGACGATTGGCCGAAGGAATCGTTCGCGAGTACTGTGGGTGCTTCTTTTGGATCTTACAGATGGTACACTCGCACCACATGGATGATCCGTTTGTACCGAATTGTGTTGAGATGGGGTCTGTTAACCATTCCCACGAGGACACTTGGTCCCCGTGCCTTTCATATCCCCGTCTCATGTTCGCTTATTATTATTATTATTATTTTTTTATTGTTTTATATAATTCGAAGAGTTGAGCACCTGAGGCATCTATAGGTTCATTTCATATTTATTGTGTAGATACGTGGAAAAATAACCTATATAAAGACTTAGTGCTACGATGATATTTATTTTCTTCTGCGTTGATGTATTTCAATTAGTAGTGAGAAGCCGGGGGCGCGCGGTACCCGATGAGTAAAGTGACCGCGAGGACTGCGAACGCTTCTGGGTGAGCGTGATTTCTCTGGGCTTTGGTGGTGCGGAGGCGGTGAGCTGCGACCTACCTCACGCCGCCCGCGACCGCCGACACACTCCATGCACTTTTTCGTTTACATTATGATGTTTACAATAATCCATTATTATTGATTAATCAATGTTCATGTGAAAAGGAAAATCTTCAAAGTCCCGTTGTAAGGTGAACAGAAAAATGTACAAAGACCTTAATAATACCTATGTATTTGTTGTAGAGCTCGCTTGGTTATTTATTTCTCTCCGCGGAGACTTTCCAGTATTATCTAGTCTTGGTTCTTGAACTCTTTATTTGTGAGCAGTGGAAGGCTGAGAACGGGGAGTTGGCCCGGCCAACCTCCCGTCGAATGGTCCTTGTATAGGTTAATGCTGCTACGTTTTTAAAACACAAAAGTAAAATATGCTACATTGTTTTAATGCGCAAGTAGTCGTATGGATAATGCAGCTTTGTACATTGTCTTGTAAATATTAAACATCGGATATGTAATAATAATTAATAATAACAACAGAAGTTGAAATATGAACGAGTGTTTTTATTTCTGTGGCGTCGCAGAGCACCCACTCCTTTCCTTGTCCTCCAATTCAGTTCCCAGCGCCGCATATCGAGGACATGAGATACCCGGCGCCTTATCGCCTCTATTTATAGCGTGGTGACCGTCCGGCGGAGAGCAGTTCGCCATTGTGCCCTGATAAGTTGCTCTGTCGGATGGAATGTCGCGCTGACCGCCAGTGACATGCCAACGCAGGGACCCACTTGAAAGGGTTGCCTCAATAACGGGTGTCCAAAGAATAATTTGAAGGGTTGGGTATCTTAATAAAGCAGTAAG